AAATCCTCGCAAAGGAAAAAAATCAAAAAACACCGAAATTTCAAAGGAGGACGGCCTCAAACTATCAAACATGGGATCCCATATTAAAAACTTGGATCCCAATAAACAGCATACCACAAACCGAAAACGTAGTAATGTAAGGACCCCGTTTCCCAAATACCAACTTCCGGAAATGGTAGAGGAATTTTTTACTTTGACGTAGAAATCCTCCTCTATTCCCCGTGAGTAAAGCATGAAATACAAGTTAAAAATCATTTTCAAATAAGTTTAACTAATATATCCGTTTTAAACCGTAAAGTTTTTATTAAATGTGTATACTCGGTCTATAAAGTATTTCATATACATAATGTTTTTTTCTACAAATAATTATTCTGACAGGGTTATTCGTCCAATGGTAGCCATGACTAGCATACATGGGTTCGTCGTGTTAGCAGAACAACTTTTTAAACACGTTAGTAGTCATCCGGAATATCTAAATATTGGTGACAGAGATTAGTAAACTATGTATCTGCATTTCGTTTTCAATCTACGAATATCGAAACCCAAATTAGGGTGACAGCACATTTTGCTTAGATAATATACGGCTTGAGTATTTCATCTACGACAAAGTGATCTCTTAGTTCGTCTGTTCACCCATAAAAAAAATCTCAACTGTTTAGATATCTCAAAGTACCGCATTACTTATTTTAACATTCCAAAGCCGTTGTTCTTTCCTTTCATAAAACCCTTTAAACTTATCAGCCCAACCTATTCCTATGTTAATAATATATAACGGTCTCAAATACAGTTACACCTTGATAAATCTTTGAACAATGCCCCCGTATAGATTATGTAGATGCGGACCCAAGGGACAGAAGAATCGGTGCTAATCTATAGACGTCCGCTGGGTACAACGGCGTGGCGCGAATAGCAAATCGCGAAAATCCAATATGGCGCGCGAACGTCAATCCTTTTTAGGTTATCTGTCAACTTGTCAATCGCTGACAGTATGCTTATTACGCTACTCCAATTTCGCTTTTGTCTAGATATGATGGCCTAAATAACAATAATTAATTGATCTAATTATACAGGCTTTGTTGAAATAATTAGCGTATTGTCTTTTTCTATCCTTTTTGTAATCTTGATAATTTTTTGCTGAGATGCTGCAGATTTGCAGTTGCGCAGAATTCCGTGTCATCGAATGACTCAAATCTCGATGACATCAAGCCAAAAATTAAAGATTAATTAATTTTAAAGCTCAACTGGTTAAAATGGCACAAAACGCTGTTGGATGATCAAGTCCCGCCCGTTTCATAAAAATTTTAATGAATGTATATGTATAGATTTTTAATTAATCTTGTAATTTAAAGTTATTTTTCAACATTTCTTTCTATACTATACAAAAGAACTCACAATATTCTTGATAATTGTTCAGAAGATTTCAACATTGTTTATGGATTAAAAAATAAATATTTTTTACATTTCAGAGTCATTGGTGCGAAAAATAATATATATGTGAATGTATCTGAAAATATTTTTAATGGTCACGATAGCACAATTGTTAGGAGGACGTGATGCAGTAATTGTAGGTTCGAATCTAGCTGTCGCATTCATTTTATAACAATTTGAAGAATTGCACCATAATAACTGTTATAGTGTTTAATTTTAATCGTCTATGCTTTATTTTATAATATAATTTACTTCTTGAAGTTTATCAAAATGGCGTATTATCAGTTACTACTACAGCACGAACAGGTTGCGTTGACAATGATTGAGGTGGTTCTGGTAGCGCCAAAGCGGATTTCATTCGTCGTTAATATTAATTGGCTTGCCACCTTTGGCCAAGGAGTGGAAGGTTTCTATAGAATGACACTTCAATGTTTATTGTTCTTTCTTATTTTAGAGGGCTTTGACCTCTAGAACTATTGTAAGATTTTGGTCAAGTACTAGCTGTGTCAACGACTTCGTCCGCGTAGAGTGGTTATTTTGGGCATCAAATACGTTTTTGCAAACATCCTTTCATCTTTATTTTAAGCTATTACCTACGACGTCTTCTGCGTCCCGTCATTCTTGCAAATTAATCTTAAAAGATAGATATATACTGTCGCGGACAATTTTTTAGATCATTATTTCATACATTTTTTGCGTTGAACCGTGTGCGCAGCGTACGCTACGGAAACCGACAAAGATGGATAGGTTTCCCCGTTAATATCACATTTCCCGCAGCGCGATGTTACATATTATAACCTTCATCGATGAATGCTCTAAGCAACACAATTTTGAATTCGTACAAGAAGTTCCTGAGATTAGCGTGTTCAAACAAACAAACACTTCAGCTTTACGTATTAGTATGGATAACCCGATATAAGATGGATATAATTGAAGCAAATATTATTGGTACATCGCTAAGGAGGGAACCCTAATACTTATCATCTAAAGTACGACACTTTTAGTCAAACGATTCACAGCTGATTGGGATCATAGTGTGTTCACGTAAATTGTTACAAAAAATTCAACACATTAGTGTCAGATTTACAAAAGTACTGTCTTAAGTTTACTCAAACAGTAAACATTTTATTAAAACACATTGAACGGCTTAAAATACAAATACACTTTGAAACCACGGTTGCTGCAAAGCATTCGAAACGTCACAACTATGCTCACTAATATACATAAGTGCTTTATTTAGCTGTATACTGTGATTAAAATAAAAAAAAATATGAAAGACTTCTTTTTAAGACCGTTCCTTCGTCTTAAAAATCATTCACACTTGAATACACCTTTTATTTTAATTTAGAACCAATGTTAGCTTAAATATTTGACAGCTGCAACAGGTGCATTCTTATGTAAATTTAAGGCAAATATTAAGCGTTGGTGTTATTCAGGGATAGCCTTTGTGTTGCCAGTTTTTGTTGTATGTATGCACATGAAATCGTGATTTTCTCAAAAGGTTTACATTGGTTTACACTAAAAACTTTCAGACACTAGATTATATATAAAACTAAAAAAAACTTCTCAAATTCCCTTAGTAAGAACCTAAATTTCCTGCTAAATTTATAAGAATTCTAAAAATTAAATTATGATTAAAATTTCTTTAATTTAGCATTTTTATAGGGACTGGATGTGAGCAAAGTTAACGACAATAGAAGGATATAGAAGCGTTAATAACGTCAAGATAATAATGACATGTCATCACTGGGTCTCTATGGTTTGAAATCAGCCATATTTGTCGTAGTCTTTTGTCAAGTTAGAACAAATACAATATACTACCATATTGTACGACAGAGACAGAGCCAGCGTATGAGCGAGATAGCATGACAGCGTCCGCCATTTACAGATTGCTTCTCTAACCGCACGAGTTATATCAAAGACGCATCTTATAACAGTTACATAAAGGAACACGACAGTTTGTTTATTAAAGGTATTATGCAATAGATGCGCGACTGCGCCGGCAGTTGAGTTCCACGTCGTAATTTAGTTTTATTACTCCCTAAATAAACTAGGTACCGATCTCAACTAAAATGTTGTTTTTGCTTCAAATACATTGCGATATATGCTTATTTAGAAGTAAGACGACATTTACAATAATGAGAAGTTAACATTTAAAGAATATAAAATACAATGATATATGTTGGCTGTAGTTTAAGCTTAACTTAACAATACACTTTTACCTTTTCACTTACTGTTACTACGATACGACGTTGAAGATGAGATACGAGGCGAATGTTCCACGTTTTAAATCGTTAAAAGTATTTTATGTAAAACACCTTGTCTTCGTATTATTATTTATTCAAATTATATAATTTTGTTGAATATTGCAGTTCGCTCCGAGTACCTACTAATATTTTCGAGTTCGTTCGAAATATAAAAATAATGGAAAACGTCTTAAGTAAGTCGAGATAAGGTTTGATTGAGACTTAGGTTATAGTTATGGAATGTTTGAATTAAGTAAAGGTAAAATACCCTCACGTTATAACCACATAAAGGTGGGTAGTCGTAAATATTGCACAACATGCACTGCTCTAGGATCGTAACACACATTAGATACAGTTTTATTGCGCTTCAAATAGACTCGACAGACATCGTTTGTTTACTGATTATGTTCGAAGGAATTTAATTTAACCTTTGTCAATAAATATATGTTTTAAAAATCTATTGTAACCACAACTGAAACTCGAACTTGCTCTAACCAATTTGATAATGCAAAGAAATCACAACGAAAAGTCCAACTTTCATCTTTTATCGAGTTATTTACATGCTTTAAAATACTCGAAATAAATTGGACAAAAAAAAGCTGTCTGTAGTTTACGCGTTACACATTTAAATAAAACACTTTAACGGTTTAAAACGCGATATATTTGTTTGAAACTCGTCTCCCCATGACCAAAAGCTGCTGCAAAGCATCCGAAACGTCGGGTCGTAGTTAAAAATAACTTTCAAACAAGTTTAACAAAAATATATCGCGTTTAAAACCGTCAAAGTGTTTTATTGAAAAGATAAGCTATTTTGTTTTCTTATTTTTTTGCTTTTTATAATTAAATTAAAAGCGGTAAAGGATTTAGAACAGTAATAGACACAAAAATAGTTTATGATATACATAATGGTGGGATGGACTAAAGGCAACGCAAAAATAGTAAGAAGTACGGTAGTTTTAAGTATATACTTCGTAAGGTAACATTCCACATTATCGATACAATGTTGCTATCGCATTTTTTGAATATGAGCTTCGTCATATTGTTACATCATCCCTTTAATCTCACTGCTAGGACTCGGGTCCTCAAAATGTATCCCTTAACAGAAAACCACGTGACAATGTTTATTTTAATTTAATTTTAGTACAACGTGATTGCACGCCCGACAATACGAAGTTCGACTGCATATACCACTGAAATCAGACTATAAAAAGTAGAGATGGGCCGAGTTACTCGGCCGAGTACTCGGTACTCGTTACTCGGTGCATCTCTAATGGAAGCCTGAAATTATTAATTCATAAAAGATTAACTGATTTTCTATTGTTACAGACAGTATCTCCACAAGCACCGGCGGTGGAGATGCAGGCCCGAAGGAACCTACTCTGGCATTTGCTCATCGATCTACCTATTTTATTGCTTGGTGAGTACCACAGAGTACTAACCATTCACACTTGTGGTTAACTACGCGTTACTACTTTATTCGCGAGAGTTTGTTATTCGTAATCGGGACCCATAATATTGTTTTATGTCGGGCCGCGCATTGAAGTCCAAGAACAGACTTATTTATTTAAATAAAACACATTTAACGGTTTAAAACGCGAATTGTATTAGTTATATGTAATAGTATCTTATTTAAATGTTTACTACTCATACTATTTAATACACTATTTGTAAAGCAGACAGAGAAAAATGTCTGCTCTATTGCCCCACATAGGAATGTGACTACACGACTATTACCTTCTACACTTAAAACGTTCCTATCTACGCGTAATGCAAGTATTTTACTGTTAATTTGTCCTGTCCTTAATTAAATAAAGCGATCGTGTTTCTAATTGACGTTCCGTGCGTTTCTAACACACATTTCTGTATATGCTGTCGTCTTATTCTTGAACTTCCTTCCCACAGCTCCAACTTTCTAGGCAAATTCTTTCAAATTACTGCGGTCAGGTTATGGAATACCTTACCCGTCTCCATTCGTATGGCGCCTCCTATTTTTTAAGGCTTCTTTACAATTACCCTTCTGAATAAATTGGTCACTATCTATCCATTTTCTTCCGTTTTATTTCTTATTTATACAAATAAGTTTAGTAATTGTGTGTAAGTTTTGTTTGATACTTTTTAATATTATATATTTTGTTTCGCCCACCTTGCACATCTTGGTTTTTCCCGTAAAATCTTCTTTCATCTTGGGTTGCCTGGAAGAGATCACTTGTTAGCGATAAGGTCGGCCATTGCACTCCATATCTTCAGTATATAAGTCTCGTTTTAAATGTTAACTAAATTTCATTTATAATATATTATATTTCTCACATAGTAAGTGAAATAGGATTGTGTGCGAAAAGCAAGGTTTTGCTGAAAATCAGCGTTACAATGCCTTCAACATACTGTCGAAAGGCTCTTTTGGCAAGCCTTTTTTCATGTATTTATATTGTTTTAGCTGCAGCTAACTAGTTGAATGCCAATAAAAAGATTTATAATCATTATGCAAGGCGGAGTGTGACCTAAATACTATAAATAGTTACTACTGTACTGAAAGCACAATTATTATAATATTTTGTTGCGGCGGCTAAACTTTTAGTACTTTGAAAGTCAATTAATTTTACGTAAGTGTTATATAAATATGTTTAAGCTTTTGTAGAGTCAAAGCTGTCTGTAGTTTACGCAAGTAGTATTCATTTTAACTTAACGGTTTAAAACGCGACATATACCTCCGTGTCCGGAAGATCGTGATCGCGGCTGCTGCGAAGCATCCGAAACGTCGTCCCGTTGTTAATATAATTTTCAAATAAGCAATTAAACTATATATGTGACGTTTAAAACAGTTGAAGTGTTTTATTTAAAAATGTGAATACTTTTTGTTAGTTTTAGGTGTTATATATTACCTATACCTAGGTATATATTTACCCATATTTCAATGATACACTTTTAACGGTTTAAACCGGAAATATTTTTAACTCCCTGGCTTTTTAGCTTTGCAATAGTCGTGTTTTACGTCAAGAGGGTTGGAATTTAAAAAAATGCGTATAAAACCGTTATAATCGTTTTATTTAATGTGTTACACTTGCGTAAACTACACACAATTCTCGATATTTCATAGGTTGTGCCATACCACGATCATTTAACACATACACAATAATATGGTGGATTTGTAATATTTTGTATGTCGCACTATCTTTGTCTTTACAATTATATTGGTATCATAAGGTCTTTACATTTCCCACTGCTGGGACACAGCCTTTCCTTTAAAGAAGCAAACTTATTAGATTAATGAAACTTCTAATGCCAATGTTTTATTGCTAGTCGAAATAGCGAACATAGGGTTCCGTACATCGGCACAAAACCTTTTAAACTTTAAACGCGAGTTCGAGACACTAGATACTTACAAATAACATTGCGCGAGAGTTGCATATATCAATAGGCTGAAAAAATTCGACGATGACGTGAAGGATGTGTGAGAGCAACAGTACAGAATGCCGTGGATGCCGGTTCAAGTCCTATCCGTATCATTTTTTTTTCAATCTTATGTCGATTTCTAATATACCTATAATATATTATAGACACTAGATACTTATACAAATTTCATATAATTTTTATATGCAAAACTTCTGGTTTGTGGTTTTATAGGGTATGTTAGATACACAAATTCTTATTTTAAGTATATCGTCGATATTTATAAAATTTATAAGATATATACCTTTTAAATAAAACACTTTGACTGTTTAAAACGCGAAATATTTTAGTTAAACTTGTTTGGTGGTCACGGCTGCTGAAAAGCATCCGAAACGTCGGGCCGTAGTTAAAAATAATTTTCAAACAAGTATCGCGTTTTAAACCGTTAAAGTGTTTTATTTAAAGGTGTACTAGTCGCGTAACATACAGACAGTATTTAGTTATATACCTTATACATTTTTATATTTTAATTATATTTAAAACAATAGAGTTAGTATTTTTAAGGCGGCCACAGAAGTTAGTCGCATATAAGTCCAAGTTGTATTGGGTTACCATTTTGTTTTCCCATTTGAGTACAGAAACCTAAAAAGCCTTATCAGTAAATATAACTTGAGCAGGACAAAAAAGACGAATCCACGAAATTGTATAATTTCTAAGAACCCGATAACGAACCGCGACCAACTTTACACGGGCGTATTCAACGTTATGTTTGAACATTTTACACGGTATCAACGTGACACTTCAAATGAGTTGACACTTGACACTTCTGTCATCGCGTTATTGTGAAACCGTTTCGATTCTTCGAACGAGCTAATTATATGGAAGCGTTATTGAAAATTGTCGTGGTCCTACTTACACTACTTATAGTTACTTACATTACTCACTTACCTACAGGTTGCTCATCACTTAAAGGTATCATTATCTACTGTGGGGCGCGGGGCGAACAAACTTTTATGTCCGTTTCACTAATCAATTTAGTATACCAGCAAATCACTCTTCGTTCGAGGCAAGCAAGTTGTTCTTTGCTCGACCGGGTTCGAATCGTGGGGAAACAATAAGTCGTTTCGGTCGGACAGGGCACTGAAGTCTGCTCAACCACTTTCTTGTATTAAAAGCAATCGGTGAAACGGACACAGAAATGTGTTTGCACAATGCCCCATAGGGAAAATCGGATTTCATACAAATACTGTTTATAGTTTACGCGAGTAGTACACAATTAAATAAAACACTTTAACAAATATATCGCGTTTTAAACCGTTAAAGTGTTTTATTTAAACGGATTTCATAAATTTTTTTATTATATATAGATAAAAAGATGTGAAAAGGCAATAACTGTACTTAATATTATTCCAACATTGTCGTACTCGTTACTAAAACGGTAATACAGTTACCGTTTTAGTAACGAAATAGGAAACCCATACATAAATATTGCAGCGAGTATGTTTTATTCGCTTCCTTGTTAGTAGGTGTTAACCTAAACAAACACTTAACTACCACGTAATAAAAGTATCGATTACATTTTCCATTCTCTATTTAATAAGCTATTTAGTAACGGTGCTATATCAATTACACAGCGCGTGTGGCCACAGTTGGACATTCGACACTCTCCACGACTGTACAAAGGCGTGACGAGACACCGTTGTTTATAGAGAATTCGTTACTTAAAGTAATAACGAATTCTAAAACGATTGTAGCGTACAGTCGCGTACTCATTTGCAAACATTTTTAAAGAAGCGTTTATTTACATTATTATTGTTACATGTGAATCCAAAATGCAATAATAAAATGAATTAGTGTGAGAATAGAATAAAATTTTGTTTATTCAAACCATCTACATTTAATTTTTATTTGTAATAGTGACGTATCTGATAGAATCTTTGTTACATGAAAAAAAATCAATTTTAACGGTTTAATACGAGAAAAATAATAGTTAAACTGATTTGCAAATTATACTAAATACGATTCGACTTATCAGACGCTTTGCAGCATTTTACAAGACAAATTTATCCAAATCGCGTTTTAAACCGTTAAAATTGTTTCAATTGAATTTGTGCTGCTTGCGTTTGAACGACAGTACTTAAAATAATCAATGTAAACAATAGTCCAAATTAAACCACAAGAGAGACCATAGATGTGACCCCGACGTATCTTTGTTGACATCTGACTGGGTGGCCGCGGACACACGATACTTGACATTATTGACATAACGTTGACACCTCCCTTCCTCCCCCTTCCCCTCCCTAACGCTGTCACGAAGTGCAGTCGTTTACATAACCGTGAAAAGCGATATGTTTAAACATCTTCGGAGTTTATTATTATAGAAGCAACAAAAAAGGGTCGATAAAAAAAAGTTGATAATAAGTTAAACAATATAATTCGCGTTTAAAACCTTAATGTGTTTTTAAATTTATACTGGTATAAACAATAGACAATACTTCACCTCCACATAAATAGACAACGATTGACGATGTTCTAAATTCAAATATTTTTAACAGTCAGAACGGGTTTACTAAAAACCTTCCGAATATATTCATAAATGAAATGAGAAAATTCACGAAATAAATACCAGCAGGACGTGGAGCAAACGAAAAGAGTTGGCAAGAAACTCGCCAGTACTCTATTTTGTTAACTGCTTTTACTATCTATTTTGTGTATACATATAACAATGATTGAATTATTATTACGTTCTCTATACACATAAAACTAATTTACCTAAAATGAATTTTCTTAGCATTTCTAGTACACTTGCAAGCAAGTTATATGTATACATATGTTAATATTGGATTTCAAACGTTACGTATCTTGACGTAACTCATGATAATATTGAATTTTATTTATATTTAGTTTCCTATTTCCTACCATGATCAATGTCAGTCTTATCTAAAACAAGGATGAGGAACTATTTGATAAGTTTTTTTTAATGGTGTCACTGTACTTACTTCTTTTCCTTCTAATAAACCAACGCCAGTA